CTCCTCCACTTACCTCCCTCACCCCCACTCCCCCATTCCCTCTCTGCTTACTTCCACTCCCACATACTTCTTCCCCCACCTTCTTCCCCTCCATTCCACCTACTACCACTTATTCCCACCCCACACCATTTCTCCCTCACTTCCTCCACCCACCAACGCCTACCTTCCCTCACGCCCACGTCCCGCGCTGCAGAATCCCTAACGAGAGTGTGGGCGTGCGGGCGTGCGGGCGTGCGGGCGTGCGGCGTGCGGGCGTGCGGGACTCAGCCAGCCGTAACGAGCGCGGTCCTCTCCCGCCGCCCTCAAGAATCTGATTCATCTCTGGGACGGCGAAAAGAAAAGGTCGTTAAGCTCTACATTTCCTGGTTTTATTGCGAGTTTTTTGCTGCGTTTATGTAAGAGCTGTATGGGTTTGTATGGATTTAATGGCCGCTGTTATCGTTTTAATTCCTTGGCATACGGCGAAGATATCATTTTATCGCCTATTAGATGGATTTGTATGGATCAAGGGACGGAGTTGAGTCTTTCAGTGTTTAGGTCCAAGGGAAACGGATCTTATTTGCATTCGAGGACATACATGCACAGCAATACATGAACTCACACTCACACACACATTCACTCACACTCACACACACATTCACTCACACTCACACACACATTCACTCACACACAAGCAAGCAAAGTCAGTAACATGGGGAAAGTGAGACGAACGTAAACTTGGTAAAAATGTACAGGAGAATAAAAACGAGAGAGAGAGCGAAGAGAAGAGAGAGAGAGAGAAAAAAAAAAACAACAACCATATCGAAAAAAAAAAAGAGCATCGCAAATCCTGTAATTAATCATTCCATCGTCACATTCTCACTGCCTTCCCCGTGTCCAGTTTCTCCTTTTTTATTCACCTCCTTTTTTATTTCTTTCTTTTCTTTCCTTAATCTTTTGTTCACAAACGAATTCTCATCAACACGTTCCTTTTCTCCATCTTTTTTATCTTCTTCTTCAGGGTTTCTTTCATTCTTTCTTAGTAAAGCTTTTCTTTTTCTTTTTTTTTTACTTTTTCTTTGTACTTTTTTTCTTTTTCTTTTTCGATATTTGTCTTGCATGTTTTTTTTTCAATTTTTTCTTGATCTTTTTACTTTTACTCCCTCCCCCCCCCCAACTTTTTAAAACGAACCGCCCCTCCCTCTTCCGCCCCCTCCCCTCCATCCTTCCTCCCCTCCATCCTTCCTCCCTCTTCCGCCCCTCCCCTCCATCCTTCCCCCCCTCCCTCCATCCTTCCTCCCTCTTCCGCCCCTCCCTCCCCTTCCTCCCCTCCACCTCTTCCGCCCCCTCCCCTCCATCCTTCCTCCCCTCCCCCCTCCTCCTCGGCCCGCGTGGCGTTCCCTCATCAGCGCGACGCCCTCACGTGGCCTCCAATCATCCTCGCAGGCACCCGAGGCGAGGGCTTCGGCGGGCGTCAGCGCCGAGACACCGTGAAACGCGATTTCGCAGGGGACTTGCCGTCGGTGGGGGAGGGGGGGGCAGAGGGGATGGGGAGGAGGAAGGAGGAGAAGGGGGTGGGGGAAGAGAGAGAGGAGAGGGGAAGATGTGGGTAGGGAGAGGAGGGAGGAGGAGGGATGGGAGAGTGAGAGGGAGGAGAGGAAGAAGGGGAAGGGAGAGAGGAGGAGGGGAAGGGGGAGGGGAGGGAGGGAGGAAGAGAGGAGGGGGAAGAAGAAGGAAGGGTGCAAAAAAGAGAGGGAATTGAATGAAAGGGATGGGTTTGCAGGAGGAGGGAAAGGGGAAGGTGTGAGTTGGAAGGAGAGGGAATGATGGGTCAACAGAGGAAAAGAAGGGAAGGGGAAGGGGAGGACCTCGTTCAGGAAGAGAGAGGGAAGGAAAAGGAGCGCAGGAGGGTGGTTGGGGGGGAGGGCTTGGAAGAGAAAAAGGGGAAGGAGGGGGGGTGCATGAAGAGGAGGGAGCGAGGGAAAGGAAGGGGGGGGGGGGGGGAAGGTGACAGGGGGGGGTGAGGCGTAGTTAGACAGAGGAAGGAGGTGGAGGTACAAGGAGCATGCTAGAAGGAGGAGAGAGGGGGAGAAGGCGAAGGAGGGCAGGAAATGAAGGAGGAAGCGATCCGCACGAGGAGAAAAAGAGAGCGATAAAATGGAGAAAAAGAAGGGGAGATTGAGGAGGAGGTGAATGGAGGCACGGAAGGTAGAAGGAGGTGGAAAGGATGAGAGGAGGTGGAGCGTGAGGTGAAGTGTGGAGGGCAGGAGGGGATGGAGCGGGGTGAGGAGGAGGAAGGGGGGAGGAGTGGGTGTCAGAGGTTTACGAAAATCCTTTTTATCATAAGGTTTGCACTGAGTGAGGAAGCAAGCGGATTCTACGTGTGTCTCAGACCCTTCTTTTATCCTCCTCTCGATCTCTGCTTTTCTCTAGTTATTTTCCGCGTCTCTTTTCTCCGTGATTGATTAAGTGGATCTTCATGCTTTGCTTGAGAATGTCTGATCCCTTGAAATCGTATTTTTCTTTGCATTCTCCTCTTCTTTATCCAACTTTCTGGTATTTTATAGACGCAAAGGCGTATCGGAGGGTGTCGAATCCTTTTTATTTTTCGCTTGTTTTGCACAGGCTGGATCTGACATTTATCTCTCTTTACTGCGTCTTTCCTTTATCTATCGGCTTCAGTTTATTTCTCCCTGTAGCCTTTGACTCTTTTCAATGTCCTTTTCGCCAATTACACCTTTATTCTCCCAATTCATCAAGATAATCTGCAACATTGCAAGCCCTGACGCGTCCACCCTCTTGCGACACCTGGCAACAACCGTATAAGATGCACAATAAGTGAATTTACCGCCGCAGATCAACAATAGCATCCAATCCTTTTTGCCTTTTTACAGGTGATCTCGGATCCTCCTCCCACCGCCCGCGCGCGTCTCGCCCTCTCTGACGTCACTTCGAACGTATGATTCACGCTGAACCTTTTATTCTTTTGCGTTATCATCGCGTCGCTGCCGTATATAGCGAACGGCGTGAGAAGCAATTGTTATAAGTCAGATAATATCGAATAATCGAACATGATAGATCGCAAATACATGGTTATTTGCGGTTTGATGCAAAATTTCTAGGATTAAATTTTCTCGAAAACAAATATCATCTCTGATTTTAATCGAGAAAGAATAACAAGTAAAATCATAATATCACAAATATGATTTGGCTATCGCTGCGAGATATCTTCTGACCTCTCGAGAAGAAAAATTATATTTACTCGTGTTTGGTCTAGTCTTTGGTGCCGCGTTAAGATCATCTGATTCTGTTTTTAATCTTCGCCCTCCCCTTTTCATGCGAGTATTTGTCCACGTCCTCAAAAGGCTGCGTAGACAATTCAGTCGAGTTATAAAATCAACAGAATTCATTTACATAATGAAGATCACTACATTGTGCCGAGTTGAAGTCTCCGAGAGCCAGCGTCTTGCAGGACGGATGGCGCTCCAAGCCTCACCTTTTGAGGATTTACATAACGTTCTGACACCAAGGATGTAAATTAAATCCCGATGATGAATGATTAATTAGCAGAAGGCTGAAGCCAAACCAAAGACGAGCGCAGTCCTTCTCGCGCTGAAGCATTCAGGCGAGCGGCCGCGCGTGCCTCCGCCCTCACGCAGGCGAGGCCCCCTGGCTCGCCCCGCCGCCCTCAGCCCGTCCCGCGCCCACTAGGCAAGGCCTCCTCACTCCTCCTTGCCGCCGGTGGCCCCCAAGGTCGCCGAGTCGCGTAAGGGCAGCTCGGCGTTGACGAGGCGGAGACAGACGCCCAGGAAGGTAAGGGCGCCCCGTCCCGGCGGTTCCTTCCCTTGCTTGGGACGCGGAAGGGGGCGGGGCCTCGCATCCATAATGGCAGTACAACAAAGGCCGCTTGGTGGGGAAGGGGGGGGGGTAGGATTGCGTTGGAAGGTGAGGGTGAGGGGAATTTAGGGGCAAGATTGGGGCTGGGAAAAGGAGGTGAAAAAGTGTTTTCATTATTATTATTTCTTGATCTAACTATGGAGAAACAAAAGGCAGTTTGGTGAAAAAATTTGTTTGATTTTCAGCACAAAAGTCAAAATGTTTTTACAATGCATCATATGACTCCATGATGCATACAATTTACCAAATTATGTTCGGTATCTTCAGGCCAAAGGGATATTACAGGAGCTCGAAATTCAATACATTATTTTTCATTATTCACATATATTTATATTATCCACGCACCCCGATAAAAATAATTCGAAATTCAGAAAGATCTCGCCACATTTCATATTTATTTCCATACTTCTGTCCATTGACATGTTTATATATATTTAGAAATTATAATATTTACTTATTCGGCCCCGTAACTGACACTAATGCTTTCCTACCGAACAGGTCGCGGAGTAACGCACTGATCATATATTATCATTTAATAACCGATGGACAGGAAGGCCATATTTCAGCAGTGTACAATACAGATTTCCTCCTCGTGGATAGAATATAATTGGCGGATAATCGTGCAATATATTAAGGTGATGCTATTCATTAATTGCGGGATTGATTTATCTTATCTGTTTCACGACGAATTTATCTGAAGGAAAGACACGCAGACAAATCGACGGAGTGTGACCCTCGTTGGCCTGGGACCGAGATGAAACACAGCTGCGCCGGAGACCCGAGACCTAGATATTAGTGAGCGTTTCCCGGCGCCTCGTACGGTCCCCGCACGCCTGGCGCCCTTCGCTGGCCCGGTCTGGGACTCTCTCGGGCTTGCTGCGATGCCCTTTCTCTGATCTGAGAGGCTGTTCAACGATAGCCGAAGATGAAATGAAAAAGAGAGGGAGAGAGAAAGAAAAATGTCGTCGAGAGGTAATTTCCGCGGGGCCGAGGGGATCTCTCGCTCGCTCTCCGCGTGAAAGTTTTGTCTCTCTAAAAGTGACGTCACAGGTCGGGGCACGTGTGGAGGGTTCGTCGGGGCATCGGGTGAACCTGCCGTCAGTTATCTCCGTGCTCTCGCCGTGGCTGGCCGGACGTCTTGGGCCTGGTGAAGTCAGAGCGCCAGAGCCTGGGTTTTCTTCGTCAGTGAGGCTGCTGGCGACGACGGCGACGATACTCGCTCTCCGCTCGCGTCTGGAGTACGAAGGGGTGTCGCGCTGTTCTGGCTGCGCTGCAAGGGAGTCTTTGAAATATCCTGGACGGAAGGCTTTGCCAGAGGCAGAGGTTTTTATTTGTGAAAGACATTGAAGACTGGTTTTATTTTCAATTTCGAAGTAAAATAAACTCGGAATGTTTATCGTTGTACGATTTATGACTGTCACCAGTGAGAACACAAAGCATTCGATATTTAGCTGAAAGGGAATATAGATTGTCTATTTACAAACAAAAAGAGGACAGAAAAGAAATCGTAGAACTGGCAGCAGATCGAAACACGAATCAGAAAAGTGTGAAGTGTCGGTGACTTCAACGAACGCCATGCCATGATCCCGGCCGCCTCCTGAGGTGCCACCGAAGGGCCGCGCCATGAGCGAGCAGGACAGCGAGCGCCGAGGCATCCGCCCCACCGACGGCAACAACAACGACGGCGGAAGTGCGAGCAGCAGAGGCAGCAAGATGGAGGAGAAGTACGGCCTCCGCCCCAGGACGATCATCAAGCGGCTGCAGCAGGAGCGGGTCCGGCAGGAGGTTCCCAAGAAGCAGTCGAGGACCAAGTCGAGGCCGGCGCCGTTGTCGAAATATCGAAGGAAGACAGCGAACGCCCGGGAACGTCACCGCATGAGGGAGATCAACAACGCCTTCGAATCCCTGCGCAAAGTCCTCCCGGAGGCCATGGAGTTCCAGACGAGCTCCTCGTCCATGACCAAGATCACGACCCTCCGTCTGGCCGTCAGCTACATCAGGGCGCTGTCGAACGTGCTCGAAGACGAGGGCGATACCGATCTCGGGGCCCTAGAGAACAGCCTGCAGAGCTCCCTGCAGGAGACCATACATCACACGCTCCAAAACACCCTCCACAAGTCCATGGATCCTGCCGGGGGCATGACGCACCTGCACTACCAGCAGTACGCCTACGGGCAGCAGTACGTGCCCCAGCTCGCCCAGGGAGCGGATTACTGTTCGCCCTCAAGCACCACGTCGGCCTCCAGCTCGCCCTCCACCGTCCGTGGATCCCTGAGCAGCACCAGCGACTTCGAGGAGCTGCTCTCCGATGACTCGGCCTTGCTCGAGGACAACCTCGACGTGTTCCACGACATCCCGACGCTGCCCGAGGCCGACCCCTTCGACATTCTGCTCGGCGCGGAGAAAGGCGGCCTCGCCTTCACCGCGCACTTGTGCAGCTAAGGCCGATTCCCTGCGGCGGGCGGCTGAGCTGACAGGAATGGAGATTTTCTGCTCATTATCCGGATGACGAGGTGGCGGCGGCATCATGTGCGTGACTGAGGGGGTAATCCGCCGAGAGTACAGCCACTTTCGCTGCATGACTTATAAGGACAAAGGCTGGAAATGTGCTGACGAGTGTTCAGCGGACGGCCATCCTGAGCCGCCATGACCAGCGCTGAAATAGGTCACTGTGTTTCCCACGGCAGAAGTCTTGTTTGGTCAATAGCTTCCTTATAAGGCAGGTCTTGCGTACCGTCGGTGACAGTAAGATGTTTTACCAGGCTGCTAAAACATTCTTAATTGTCACTTGTTTCTGCAGTCTTAGCAACAAAGGGTAATAGTGTTCTCTAACCCCAGGCTCTGAAAGGCAGTCGACCCCATTCGACGCCTTCTGAAGCAACTGGAAGATCATGACAATTGCAATTCAGCATCTGAAAAACACAAGATATAAGGACTTTATTTCCTGAACAAAGACATTCCCGGTGTGTGTTTTTCCTTGGAACTCTGCACGATCTTTCTAATCCCGAAGCAAGAAGGAGGAAGAGAGAAAGATAGGAACAAGTGATGGTGTCTGATTAGATAAAGGAAAGCGGTTGTACCTAGTCAGCTCACAATGCCCCGTTCGTTTGATGGAGGAGTTATAATCGTTTGGTGAACAATCGAGAACAATGGTTCGAGAACAAGAGAGAACTTATTCTGAAAGGAACGATGCTAGTCTAGTGTAATAATGTGCCATAATGTATGAACAATGATCATTAAAAAGAAGAAAATCAGTAATCACTTGACAAACTTTATGGTCTGATATTTATGTGATTTATTGTGTATTTTCTATTTATTTAGTAATTAATTATGTAAGAGTTTAATGTACAAAAATATTGTGAATACATTCCTTTTATATTAGTAGTGTTTATAATAAAACAATTCTAAGTTTAGAAATATGTTTCCAAATCCTTATGATCTATAAAGGTTTGTTTCTCACCCGTTATCTTTTCACTTTAAGAATGGTGAAAAATTATGGAAATGGTAATGATAATAGAAATTATGATGAAACTACCAATGATGATAACATTATGATGAAAATGATAATAATGGTGATCCTGATGATAACAATGATGATAAAGATAAAGATAACAATGAGGCTAATATGATGATGGTAATAATGAAAATGATAATGGTAATGATGATAATGATAATGTAGCAAGGATGATAATGAGAGTAGTAATGATAGTGCTAATGGTTGTAATAATAATAAAACAAATAGTACTAGTACTAGTAATAATAGTTATAATAATGATAATAACAAAAATGATAACGATAAGAAAATACGATAATGATAATAATCACAGTAAATAAGAAAACTATTAATGATAATTATAGTGGCAATGATAAGAATAATCACAATTATTGCGATAATAAGCATAATGGTAATGGTAACGATGATATCAATAAAACGATAATAAACATACTGATAATAATGATAACAATACCAATACTAATAACAATTGTAGATAAATAAATAAATGTTAACAATGATAAAGACATTCATAATAATTCAAAGGAAATCATTATGTCGTTTGAAAAAAAAAAAAAAAAAAAAAAAAAAAAACTGCACTCACTGCGGTGGTTTTCCAATAGAAGTCAATTGAAAACGTTTCGGGAGTTACACAACCGTAGATTTTATCTGAAACTGAAACTGAAAAAGGATTGTGTCTTAATTAAACAAAAACCTTCCTTATTGGCGTAACGTTGCTCATATTAGGTCTTGATTTTGCAAGGCGATTAACCTGGATGCAAAATTATTAAAATGATGAATAATACACGGAGACATTTTCATGTGTGCCTAACCATATATACAACAGACTATCTAACTATCTGTCTGTCTATCTGTCTACATATCTGTCTAACCATAAATCTATCTGTCTATCTCTCTACAGAATCTTCCTATATTGTGTGTATTTGAAGATGTAGGTTTATACAAATGGTCCCTCACATAAAAAAGGAAAAATTCCGTTTATTACTGAGAATTTCCGGTTCATTGTTCCGAAGATGTGACATAGATTCCTGGGTGAATTTCTCATCACATGCCTATGAATATTTAGCAACCAACATAAAAAAAGAATAAACGTAAGAGCATGTCTGAGTCTCTATTATATTCGCATGTCTGAATCTATGTTATATTCGCATGTCTGAATAATTTATACATGAGAGTATATTAGGAAAATAACAAAAATGGTGAGGCGCTTTTTAGAAGAAAGTTGAATTAAATAACCTAATAAACTTTGAAAATTATCATTTATCTAATTACTTTGAATAATCCTAACACATGCATCAAATAAAGAAAGCCAACTCCGAAGTATGATGTTAAGATCGAGAGAAAAAAAATATATACTTTACTTTTTCAAAATATACAATAATATCAATAACTCTAGTAACTGATGTATTCAAATGTAACTGAAGAACTAGTCATTATAATGGTTTTAAAAATATGATAGTGAAAATACAGAAATATCTAAATAATGGCAATGATTATGAAAATCATGATAAAGCTAATGTTATGATAAAGACAATGGTGATGATGAGAGTAGAAAAAATAATGACAACATACGTTGATAATGATGTTAATTATACTGATAGCAATAATAAAGATGATAATAATGTTAATAATGATAATGGTAATGATGATACAAATTATGATAATAATCATAATGATAATAAAAAATGAATAATGATGGTGATAGTAACAATAAAAGTGATAATAATAGTAATAACTATAATAATGATAAATATGATAATAACAATGATAATGATAATAGTAATAATAATGATGATGATGATAATAACAATGATGATAACCATAATAATGATAATGATAATAATGATGCTAATAACAATATTGATAATAATAATAATAATAATGTAAATAATAACAGTGATAATAACACTGATGATAATAATAATAATAATAATAATAATAATAATAATAATAATAATAAGAAGAAGAAGAAGAAGAAGAAGAAGAAGAAGAATCACCATTATCATCATCATCATCATCATACTACTACTACTAAAAATAATGATACTAATAACAATAAGGATAAAAGTAATGATGAGGATTATAATAATAATAACAATAATAATAATAATGATAATACCAGTGATAATGATAATAATAATGATAATAATAATGAAGGTAATAATGATAATGATGAAGGCAATAGGGATAATAATGATAATGATGAAGGCAATAGGGATAATAATGATATTGATAATAATGGTTGTAATGAGGAACATTATAATATTAATGAAAACAGTAGCAATAATAATAGTGATTATAGTGAGAATGATCTTGAAAATAACAACAATGATAAAAGTTATGATAAAAATAATGATAATAATCATAATAAAAAACAAGAATCTTAATGTTGTAAATAATAACAATAATAATGACAATAATAGTAATTATAATAGTAACAATATCAACAAGCCAACCACAACAACCCATACAATACTAGTCATGATAATCATAAGCTTTAGAATGATAGTAATTGTGATAGAGGTAATGATGATAATGATAATTATAATTATAACCATACTAATAATGTCTATGATGATAACCACAACAAAAACAACAGCAACTACCACA